CCTTTTTTTCCTTTGTTAAAGTAAAATTGACGGCTCATCAATGCAGTATCTAAGTGGTATCGATTGGAGGCGAGATCCATCATTTCGTCAATTAAACGCAGAGACCCCGCTTCATTGGAATTCAGGATGCTGCGTTTAAAAAGCACTCTCCAAGGATAAAAGTACCGATATGGAACCTTGGAGGGGCAAATTGCCACCCCCCCCCCCCCCCCACCCCTCTGCTTTTTTTCTTCCTAGATTAACTATCGGGTCGATAGAGAGGGCCTTTTTCAGCCCCCTTTTGAGGTAACCGGAAATTGTCAGTAGCCTATGTTAATCAATATTCATCAGGTCCTATTTACGACTTGCAGTCCTGGGTCAGATTGATGGGATGGTGTGTGTGGGAGGGGGGGGTGTCTTCCTTCGACGTTGAAGGACGACCCTCTTTGGATGGCAATTGATAGGACACTTCTTTAGTGCGTTGGGCTGATGGTGAGAGGAGAAACAAACAAAATTAACTTTGGAATAATTTTCTCTCCTAAATAGTCTTCAATGCAGGTATATACACACACCCTATGGCACGAAAGCAATCAGAAAGACATGGATAGTGGAAATGGGATCTTAATTTTCATATCAGTATTTGCGAAAAGCATCTTCCATTTTCATCTACCTTTCTTGTCAGAATCTTAAAACAAAAGTGTTAGTCTCAAACCCCTTCTATATTACCCCCCCCCCCCTCACTCTTTCTCTCTCTCTCTCTCTCTCTCTCTCTCTCTATTTTAATTTCTTATTATTATCATTTACTGTCTGTGTTCTCTAATAAATACCTCATGTCCTTTGCTTCAAAGAATGAGCGGTGATTGGCTAGTATTCCCCTCCCAGCGACACGTCTTGTTCTCGAAAGTTTTCTGATAGCCTCAATTTCTTGGAGTTGTTGTCGTATATTTACATGAACATTATGAAAATAAATCAGAAATCAAGGCCATGACATGACTATACCTGGCAAATATTTTTTTTAAAGAAATAAGTGGAACAATAATCATATCCAACAAGTTTTATTCCAGTTTCTCCCCCACCCTTTTTTTTTTCTTCTTTTGTCGTAGCTATTACTAAAGATTGTTGTCAACATTTCATGTTACTCGTAAATTCCCGGTCATGTAAATATTTGGCAGAAACAAGATACCCATCTCCATCGCATCCCCGCTTTTTAACCATGCTTACGCCACGTGAAACGATCAGTTCCTATAACATTTCAAGTACAATACAATAATTCGTGGAAAACGGCGGTATTAGATGTTTTTGTTTTGATTTTTTACATGTTTTAATGTTCTAATAAGATATTGCTTGAAGATATTTCGTCTTTGTTGGGCTTCATGCTCGGTCAATGATAAAGATGTCTACCTTGGTTTTTGTTTAATCGTTGCTTCTTTGTTGGTGCTTCGTCCATATACCATCCCGAGGCTTTATCTTAGCTTTTCCAAGCATCATTTCCCATGGGTTATTGATCTACCGCCAACCATATACTTAGTCTCTTCATTTTCCCTAATTCATTCTCTCTCGCTCTTTCTCTCTCTCTCTCTCTCTCTCTCTCTCTCTCTCTTCATCTTCTATTAAGCGGTAATCGTTTACACTTACTTCTAGTATCTCACCCTTCATAATAATTATCTCTTCCCCACATGCTCTTCATATCTGACTCCTCTCTCTCTCTCTCTCTCTCTCTCTCTCTCTCTATCTCCCTCCATTTTTCTTTATCTGGTTAAGTTCCCTAACCACCTCTTTCCATATCCCCCAATGTCTCGGTCACTAATTTATTCTCTATGCATACAGTACTTCCTCCACTCCAAATAATCATTCCTTTATCACTCTTTATTATAATATTCATTCCCCCTTAGCCTTGAACATTTATTTACTTTTCGTGTCATTAAGCTCAATATAGACGACTGTACACGTGCTTCCTACTTCTTTAATTCATCAAGCTACGTTGGTATTCTTTGTCGTGTCCATTCGCGTTATACATGTGTGACTGATTCATGTTTCCGCATTACTCTACTCTTCTGCCCAATGGTGATGATATCTCTCGCTTTTCATTTCACTGTTGTCTGTTTATATTTTCTCTTCGTTTTTATAATTTCTCTTTCAAAAATCTAATATATTTCCAAAGGACTGCTGGACAAAGATGAAAATATTATTATTATTCACTCAAATGAACAAAACTATGTCTGGTTGTGGAAAATGAGAGAAAAAAATGTTTGACAATGAAATGATAATAATTTACTTGAATTGATACAACTTTTTTATGTAATTTGATTTCTTTTTATTATATGTGCATAATCATATTGTGTGCATAATTGTCGGAGTTGTTGGTGAGATCCTATATTGGTTCTGTAACTGGTAATTCAGGTGTGTTGATAATTTATGGGTGTGTTGTGTTGTGTTTCCTACGAGTGTACTCGGTGAGATTCTGATTCTATTGGCGAAAGAGTATATTACATTTCCAGTGATTATGGGTTAATCTATACACTTTACGTCCATGTCTCTAGTCAATGATTATTTCATGCAATTTCATTTTATTTGATATCCCTGTGATAACTTTTTTTATTTTTTTACTTATTTCATTGTTATTTGTATATTACCATGTATTTACAAGACAAATGTGAAAAACAGCTTTGGCTGATATTGTCATCCTGTATGAATATTATTAAATAAATAATTGCCTTTCGAGTGTGACTGCAAAGTTTTATAAGATTTATACATAATTACGTCCTATTAAAAGAGATAATTTTACTTTTACATAGCCCTTTTTTCTCGCTTTTAGTGGGTCAGATTTCAATCTTTTTAATAGGCATAATCTGTTTTGCTAAAATATATATTTGTAAATTACTTTGCGTTAATTTTAAACAAGTATGAATGAAATGAATTAAAATATACATAAACATTTTGTTTAATTTCATTTTATTCGTTCCCTTTTATATTTCCTTAAATTGTTCTCGTATATCTTGTTCTTCCTCCCCAAGTTTGTCGCGCTCTTCTGTTTCAAAAATCTCTCCATGCACGGTCATTCAATTTAGACAATTCGCGACGACAACTTCTTTCCTTTCCTTACACAACATACTTCCTAAACCACTTAGAACAATGCATAATCGACTATGCGCATGTCTTTGGAAACATGACACTTGATTGGCCAACACATTTGTTTTTATGCAAGTTAGCGTCCATACTTAATCTACTTTTCTCGCAGCTGATTGGCTGCTTGGTTGGTTAATAGTCAGCTGATCTGCAACAAACCGTAAGGTAGAGCGTTTCTGATTTGTTGATTGTGCTTAGCTAAGCATACCAATATACGTATGCGTTTCCGTGTGTGATTATTTATTTGTATTCTGTAATCTGACATGTTTGTCTTTTATCTTCTTATTCGTTTCTGTCGATTAGGTGCTGCACTGGGGCATCAAGACATCACGACAACGGGTATTTGACAAGACAACACAGAAGTTTGACCATCCATGGAGGCTCTGATATGCAGATGTGAGGAGGAGGAGAAGGATTTTTAAAATCAGTTAGAGGTCCCCAAGCTCTATCAATTTTCCACTTCGACGACGACAACCCTTCACGCTCTACTTTGTCTTCCGAGTACGACGACGATACGTCGTTTAACATCAGGAGTCGTTGATGATTAGAAGTACTTCATTAAAAGTAGGAGCCATCATTTTCTATCCGCATATTGGGTTCGTTTGCTTCAAGTTTGATGATTAGAAGAATTTCATTAAAAACCTGACTCATAACTCATCATCTACATAACTGACTCTGTCACTACAAGTTTTGGGACTTGCTTCAATTTTAAATTTAATTTCAAGAGAAAAGCTCACTGCTTCGTGGGGACATGATGATGAGATGAGTCGCTCGGAAGGTATCCTCTAGATAATGTATTCCCGATTCCGATGATCGCACTATTCGTCAAGAGACACCCTAAAGCTCCCCGACTGGTTTAAAGCGAACGAAGGCTCTGCATCATCATTTATTAACGTGCGAACTGGTGATTAGTTCGACGAATCATCGTTTTTAGGGTTGATGCATCGGATTCCGAGACGGCGAGAAGCAAAACAAAGAGTCACGAGAAAATCATCTTCTGTGAAATTTACTGACGAAATCATAGTTAATGTAGTCCGAGAGAAGCGTGACGGAAGCATTACTTCTGTCAAATTTGTTGACGTTTTTTGTTGTTGTTGTAACTGACATCTACGCCAATAAACTACATTTTGTCATGCGGGAAAACGTTTGTGACGAAAATTCAGACAATCGTCTAATGTGCGGTTTGTATAAGTAATAAAGGTTGTCCTGTCATTAAATGGTTGGCTGACGAAACAACAACACTTGTGAAAAACTTTTTGACTTTCATCGCCGGTTTCGTCAACATTGACCGCATATCACCTCACTGTGACTTGTATTGTATTGTATCATTGGAAATTCGTTTGGTCATCGAATTCACTAATTTGTGTTAATAAGTGACAAGGAGGGAACACCAATTGACACTTGTGGTCTGACACCTATCAAGCGTTACTGAGCAGTCGACAAAGAAATATTATAAAAAGGCACAAATCGAAGATTTTATTTAATTTTCTACTTGGATTGAAAAAGATTTGAGGAAACCTATGTTCTGTGTTTGACTTAAAATCCGCTTTAGATTGCTGTCGTTATCGTCCGACTAAGGAGTTCAATATCATCAAAATAATCATCAGTGATGTGATTGTATGGAGCTTTGTGTCTTTCAAAGATAGTTGGATTTACGTGGTTAAAGTGAGGTGAAAACATAATTTTATGAAATGATCATGAAGTGTTGGTTTTCCTGAAAACCGTGACTGATTATTTTTGTTGTTAGTGAAGATCAAAGGAAACGCGTCTTCAATTACCCCCTTCAACGACAAAGGTGATCCAAACCATTATTTGGGTTCATTTAGCAAGAGTGTTTATCAGACTTCCTAACAATACGTTGTTTAAGTGAACTTAACAAAAGAACGTACTTCAGCTACTCACAAGGTGTGCGCCATTCAGCGAAAGTCTATCGACAGGAGAAAGGGAGCTTTGGCTTTGTGAAAGAAAAAAAAAGCAGGGCCCAAAGCCCGTGGGACGCGCTCACTGGAAGTCTTTTATAAACGTGATCTGATCTTGAGTGTGTTCAGAGAAGGAAAAAGACCTCGCACGGCAAACACGTACTTCGTCTTCGCTCGTTGCTAGCATGGAGACGACGGTTCTTATTTTGGAATTATGAGCAAGCGATGTGGATACTCGTCCTTCAAGTCATTTGAAGTTGAATTGAAAGGATAAATTTCAGAATTTGACGCTGTTGTTCATATATTTATAGTCACCTCTTCATGTTTATGCGTGAAGTGGAGGAATCATTCAACGGGGAAATCGTCTAATTGGATTGTTTCACATTTTGTTTTTAACAAACAAAGATTTGAATTAAGCGAAAAGGTAATAAGGCTCGCTGGAGAATAAAGGAGTGGTTGGCAAGAAACTTTCACCAGTTTATTTCATCTGTAAAGAGGATAACCATCAAAATCAGTTTGATCCATGATTACTTCTCCAAAAAAAGGGAAATAGAACCAATGAATTCGATCTGTGTTTCAGTTTAGACTCGGCTGACATGACACCATTCTTGGGGATTTAGATCAACGGTGTTCAGCCCGGGAGGATATACCGAGGCCCTATCCTGTAATTTGATTTTGTCTACAGTCGTGAAGCGTTCGCTGGAGGCAGAACATCCATTAGCGGCCAAAGAAATGATAAAATGGGTGACCGCGTTTCCGTAACGTGTCTTCAAGGAGAGGTGTTATTGATAACTCAACAAATGGATAAAAGGATCCTATGAAAATAACCCGTCAAGAAAAGGCGGTATTGCGTGTGAGCCTCATTTTACGTGAACTGCGTCGTCTTGTCGTGGTAATTTTTTATTCGACGCAAGCTAATTGAGGAAGGAGGTGCGTACATTTACAAGATTTCGAAAATCGTGTTGATTTTATTTTTTGATTCTACTCTTTCATCGCAAGAACATGTGAGGGATTAAAATAAAGGCGGTCACATGATATTAAGGTATGTCTACAGAGTGAAGTCGTGGATTGATTCATTTAAGCGTTGGTAGATATTTGCTGTTCGGACTGTTAATAAAAATCGTTACCATGACGAATAATTTAACAAACGGAACAGACGACGGTGACGGCGGTGGAGGCTATAGCCTCACCGGGTACATCATTGTCGGTATCATCCTCTATATCATTGTCGTACTCGCCATCGGTGGAAATGCGCTGGTTATCGCATCCGTCCTCGTCTTCCGAAAACTCCGCACGGTGACCAACTACTTCATCGTCTCCCTTGCGATCTCGGACCTACTACTCGCGCTTTTCGTCATGGACTTCAACGCCTGTTTCATCGTCCTTGGCGACTACTGGCCGTTCGGGCAGGTGTTCTGTCGATTTTATATCTCGATTGATATTATGCTCAGTACGGCATCCATTTTAAACTTATGCTTAATCTCTCTGGACCGGTACTGGGCCATTACATCACCTTTCAGCTATTATCAGCGAGTGAACGCCACGAACGCTATTATTTTAATCGTCGTCGTGTGGGTTACGTCTTTCCTTATAAGTGTGCTCCCAGTTATGTTGGGACTCCACGTAGATTATACTTTAGACGATGAGGAGTTCGACTTTTTCTACAAAGAACCTACATTTTGCGTATTGATTATTAATCAGTGGTACGCGTTAGGATCATCGGTCATTTCTTTCTTCATCCCCATATTTATCATGGGTTATACATATGCACGTATATTTATTGTTGCGAGGAGACAAGCGCGACAAATAGCCGCCTACAACAACACGGGACAGCGCATACAGGGCACGGACAAGAAGGCCCAGGGTTCGATGCGTCGAGAGCGTAAAGCAACCAAAACTCTCGCCATCATTGTCGGTGTCTTCATCGGCTGTTGGTTACCATTTTTCATTTTGAACGTGGTGGATCCCTTCTGCGGACGTTGCGTGCCTCCGACGCTCTTTAGCTTTACCGTATGGCTCGGGTATGTGAACAGTGCTCTGAATCCGATCATCTACGCACAGAATAGAAGCTTCCGAAATGCCTTCAAGACCATTCTCTTCTGTTACAAGTGCCGAGGGTTGTCCATGCGGCAGGCGGACAGTAGCGACGACCATACTGCCATGAGCAACACGAGCCGACAGGAGCGGCTTAGAGGACGTTTGGGCAATGGTTATAACACCACACCACGTCCTTCGCATTCAGATCACCGAAGTAGCGTCGAGAATTCAGCCGAGCAGAATCATAAGATGGTCAAAGACACTTCTTTGGTCATAGCTAATAAGAACGCAAATGCGAATGTACAGGACTCAAAGAAAGATAGCTCGTCACCTGTAGCTGTCGCTACCATCACCCATTCAGATGCTAATGGAAACGCAATCGATGTCCCACTTTAAAACAATGTGTATATCAGTTTGATCAAGCGTGTTTTGTTTTGGTTAAAATGCACTTTCTTTTCATACTTCTGTCCTAAACTATACCCCTCTAAGGGTTTTCCTGATACTTACATTATTACTTAATTTGTTGGTAACATTTCCGATTCTCACAAGTCATTAGCCGTTGACATCTAATATAATATATTATCATTAATTCACCGTATTCTTGATGATAGGCTGCATGGTAAAATACTGTTTAAGATATGCATCTGGTTATATTTTATCCTTTAGAAAATATATTTCAACAAACCGATAAAGTATTGAATAAATATTTGATAAATCAGTATATTAATAGATTAATAAATACAGAAGGAAAATGTTGAACCTTGAATGTTGAATCTTCAGTATGTTTTCGTCACATCTACTCTCAAAGCAAAATACTAAACGCAATGATCTTTCAATGAAGAAAATTTAGGTTTCAATAAAACATCAGATGAATTGATAAGTAAATCAAAAATGAATTGGTAAATGAATAAATTAGGATAACTTTGAATTTGAAACCATGTTCTTTAAATCTACGCTCCAAAAAAATAAATCAATACGCAAACCATGGCAACGAAGAAAAGAGGCTATTCGTGTTGAGTGTCAATAATTCTTGTTGTGTTAAAAATTGACGTATTGGGTGTTATTTTGAACCCAATGAACAAATGTATGTCAAATTCAAAATGAGTTTGATATGTACAAAAATCAAGCGAAGTCTTTCTGCAATAGAATACGTAGTTTATTCGCCCTAAGCATCTTCTTTGTCGTTTGTATTCATGAAATGTCAAGAACATAAAGTGATGATAATCGATGCGAAGATATGTAGATGATTTATTTTTCTCTCTGTAAGTGCTTTTTTTCATGAAAATCTATTTGCGTTTGATGGTAAAAATTTATCCACGCACAAACATGCAAAAGTACTAGTTTGAACGAGATCAAAAGTGATGTTTGCATTATATGCATGACAATTAAAAGCACTTAAATTTTTACTATTTTGCTGATTATTTGCCAACCCTGAATGCTTTCCTTTTTCGTACATGATCAGTTGCATAGCTTAAAGGGTAACAAATTACATGTATACCTACATGAAGTGTCAATTGACTGTGCTAATCCTAGCACAGTAAAATGAGTGTAATTACGTTTTTATTGGTAAAAAAGCCATGGGACTGATGTTATTTTTGAGGTGTTCACAATTAATTCATTAATAACCATGGCAACAGTGTCCGTCCTAAACGATCTTGTAGAGGATAGTTCTCAGAATGACACTGAAACGCTTTCATTTTATTTGCAACTCGTTGCCACCTCGGGCAATAAGACCATATCTGTTATACCCGCTATCATTATCAATTACAATTTTATACATGTATAATGTCTAATTATAGTCCATTTGCCTTGTCCACAATTAACAAGAGCGGATACCTTGTCGAGGAGAAATCTATAAACACGGAATACACCCCTTTTTTTACCTTCGCGAAACCACGCAGTATGCCTGTTTGCCTATTTAATCGTGATGCGTCATTTCCTTGACGTAAGGTTCCGTCATTGATAGCGCAGACTTAAAAACGCCAAGTAGATATCATACACCAGTTAAATGCAAAATGAACGGGGCACACATTGCTTGGAATTGCTAGAAGTAGGCCTAATTGTCTTCACAGGCTACATTAGCGCATCCGAAATGACGCTTTATGTGCAACAGGCATTATTTCATGCCGCCCAATCAAGTCCGGAACGCATTGCCTTTTAAGCTCATTACCTGTAGCAGAACTGGGAAGATATAGGATTCACCAGAAGTAAATTGATGCACGGTGAAAAGGGGTGGATTAAAATATTGAGATTAATGGAAAAGATAAGGCATCGACTGTCATAGTTCTTTGGGGGTTACTTTAATATACGTATCCACGCATGGAATGTCTTTAGGCAGATGAGGGTCCCGCACTTCGATTGCAAGTGAATCGCAGCTAATTTAGAATTGATAAATGCGTCACGAAAAAAATACACTCTCAAAATGATAAAGAGCAGTTAAAAAGTCAAAATAATGTTGACATGTACAGCCCCCACCAGGTGTTTTTTTAAGACGCACAAATTACATCGAAATTGACTATTGATTGACCAAGTTTACAGACGACATGCGTGAGATTTTGAGAAAAGTTATTGACTCAACAAATTGACATCGACTATGAATTCCTTTTTGTATCAATACCCTATAGCCACACCGACGAGACCGAAACCAGACCGACACCAGATCGACGCCAGACCGACCAGAACAACTTACACAGTCACACGGGCAAACCGGAATCCAGACTCCAAACTCCAAATCGACCGATTTTTGGCCATTCGGGGATAACGAGATGTTTTGTTCAATCTGTTGTCGGTCTGTTGTTGGTCTCTAAGGTGTTACTGGGTATCAAGCCAGACCGATTTAATCCAAACTGACTGATTAATTGGCAATCCGGGGTAATGTAATGTTTTATTCAGTCTTACATGTCGGTCTCATATCTTATATGACCGGGGTATATGATTGGTATTATACCGCCAGACCGATTCCAAACGGGCCGATTATTACCCATTCCGGGTAATATGATTTGGTTGTGTCTGATGTCGGTCTTCTGGGTTTAACTGCATGTGTATAACCTGAATCCTAATCAATGACCATAATATTTCTCGGTTATCACAGCCATGCTTTGGAGCCGGCTTTAAGACCGGGAACAGACCAAACTAAAGGGTTAGTTACATGACACCAATGGCCCTAAATCGGTCGATTTGGAGTCGTGACTGAGGTATTGACGTAATAATAAGACGGATAACACTTTACCCTGACAGATTTACATTAGAATCAAGCACGGACAGCATGGGTAATCACCCTTTAAAACGAACGAACTATCATGTGTTCTGCAATTCCACTGCTTTTGACTTGGAATTCTTGACGTGGAATCAATCGTTCTAGATATCCCAATTTGGGATTCAGATCAATCCGTCTTAAATGACATTTTGGCGCCTGTATACACCCCAAGACGTGGCTAACACGTCTTAAATCATCACGGACTCGACCGGTTCACGAAACATTAGGAACCTCAATCATAAGGGGGAAAAATTCCAAGAAGGAAAATCAATAGACAGTATTGAAAAAAATACTCTCCTAGAATGAGTTATGTATTTTAAACCTTAGCCCTGTTTCCAACGCTAGACTCTGCTTCTTCGGACGTAGCCCCATTATCATCTCTTTCATTTTCTTTCCCAGCATTTCCCCCTTTCCTTTACTTCTTTGTTAATTCCTCTAGACTCCCGTTCCTTTTGATGGAAACCTACAAAAAAAATGTAGCCCAATATGATTGATAAAATTAAAGGGAGTAAATATATTCACGTTCACATACAAATGTTTTTGGCTTGATATTTTAACACCCAAGTCGTTACTTCTTTGCTGGAAAAAGAGGGTGATGCAATCGACATTTAATAAGACGAGTGTTTAAATAATTGTAATGAGAATTTGTGTGAAAATGTTGAAAAGGAGGATACCATTCATATGTCTTCCATTATGATGTCATCCATTTATTAAGTTACGAAATTGTTTGCTAAGTTAGAATGTTTGGAGTCGAAATCACTCTCTAACTATTTTCTTGAAACGATGTTGTGGTTTTTTTAAAGGTGGACTCGGACTTGTGGGTTTTCTTTCTGTTTGCAGATACCAGGCAAAGTGTGTACCCCATAACTTTGACCATAGCAACGTAAATCCATTCTTGGAAAGAGATATACTGTACATTGACACAAACTTGAAAAGGTACTTTGTTGACAGACGGTAATTCAGGTATCTTGTGACCGACTTAGACATGTAATCAATTCTGTAATAATTTCTTTTTGTTCAAAAGTGTAGTTAGTTTCGTGACGTTGACGAAACTGTGAAATGGCATTTTTGGACAGTGCGGGATAAGATGCCTGTCAAAACTTTTAAATGGACTGGTTATTATTATAGGAATTGATCCCCAACTGCTCTTCAATAATACTAATTAGATAGCCCAAATCGATCTTGCACTAAGTTCCAAATTAGACCAACAGTTTAACAGTGTCTCAATCAATTTAGCGATGTCAAATTGAACGGTGTTCCTCAAATCGATTTCCTGTTGCAATTATGGTAGCTACAGCTATTTTTACGGTGCTGCGCAGTATATTAGGGTAATAGGCGAGTAGCTTTCATGTCTTTGTTCCACCATGTAGTTTTAAAAGGTCCTATTCTTTGGTTTGGCCCTTTCCCAAGCTCACGTTGTGAGTTCCAGGAGCTCTGACGGTCCGTCTCTTGTTCCTATTGTTTGCAGTCTGGTCAATATTTAAACTTTCCCTTGGCCCTTTTCTTAAACGAGACCATGACAAGTTTTCGCGGAGAAGACACAAACAAAGAATCTTGGTAACGCAAAGAAATGCCTGCTACCAAATAGTTATTGTTATCATAGGGTTGAGAAATTGCACGTGTGCGGCAACATGTAGGCTTTTACTGTACATTTCCGTATAGCAAATCATATCGTCTGTGTTCCCATTTATCTATATATAGTTGGGTTAGGTAAGATATTTCCTGTTAAATTATACTTTAAAAATACACCTTATTGCACATAAGGCGCAAACGTCGAAAGATTATCTTTAGATTTACTCAGAGTTTTGGACATACAGTTTGTGCTAAACTTCCCCAAAAAGTTTTCAGCTGTTATAAGTCATTGAAAGGTTCTTGTTTTTGTAGACCAACGGAGATAATTGTTGAACTGGAAAAGAACATGTATGTTGGTAAATTCCTCTTTTTAAAGATAAAAATATATGGGGGCTTTTTAGCATTTCGAATGTCCAAAAGCGTGAGCAACGATGGGTTAAATAAGGAACCCCAGGAGCTGTTCTACATGGTTACGGGGCTTGGCGGCTTCAGCCCCCTCCCAAGTATCTTATTAATAAATAAATTGAATGAGGTAATGTGGTATGGAAAAACAGTATGATCATACTTTCAATGACAAATGCATGAAATGGAAATGGCGAATGCAAGGATATAGACGAATATTATAGTATTAAATATGAAATTGTTCATTATTGAAAATGAATGTAATGGAGCGATTAACAATTATCATGAGAACTGTCAGAAGAGGAATATGATGAAAATGGATTTTTGTTGAGGTTGTCTTTCAGGTCAGGATATGAAGTATTATTATAAAGAACTATATAATTATTGTTGTCTTTCATGTATCTAATGCGCAGGAGGGGATATCCACTCTTTAAGAGGTCACAATCGTGATTCACTCCTCATCTTTGGAGTGAATTCCACTAACATTTGAATTGAATTCTAAGTCTAAAAGGAGTGGAAAGTTCACTCCTACGCATTAAGAGAGTGTTGCAGAAATGGAAAGAGTGGAATACACAGAGGCCGATTTAAATTGAAACACTGATGGTGATAAACTTATACAGTATTAGCAAGATGAAATGATCTGGTGAATACTGCGAGTTACTTATATCTTGATATTTTAGTATCAAAATTATTGACAATCCATTTAGAGAACTGTAACCTCTTAAAACAATGTATGAAATATATTTTGCCTCTTCAAAAAAATTATGGTTATTTTTATTTAATAATGCTCCAAGGAATAGTATTTTTATAACGAATTATGAAAAAGATTTTAGATTACAAGCGTAACAAATGTTTTTTAAAAGATACTTTCTACAAATTCCGACTTGATTCATACGTAACGATGAAACCCTGTAGATGGTATTGTGAATGTGCTCGGTCAAAAATATTTCAGGAAAAATAATTTTCAATTTGATTAATGAGAATGAAAAGTGCTTTCAAAAGAG